TTTTGGTATCACTTTTTAAAGTTAATCCTTAATGTTGTAAGCAAGCTGTACGCGTTTGTTCAGTCGTTATCATTTTGTTCATATCTTGTTCATATTTTACTTTATTATTTCAAATTTTTCATATTTTAAACAGAGTTCTGTACATATTTTGAATGGAGTTCTGTTCATAACTATACTATCACAACTATCCTAACAAACCAACACGCTCACGATTTAAATAAGCATATAAAAACATGGTTTTTAAAAGACGCCATTAACAAAATAGTTAATCGCATCAACAGCTCCTGACCAATGATTTCTCCCAGATCTGTTCCTGTAATTTCTACTTTAGCTGCATCTCATCACAAAAGTTACACCCAACCGACGCCATAAATGACAACCAACCTAAAGGAAATAGGCGTCTACTTTTATCTTCTTCTATGTTTGAGAAACACAAAATAATGTGTACCACAACTTTCTCTTCCATATCGTCAGGCACAAAGTAATAATTATATATATATATATATATATATATATATATATATTCTATATAATAGTTTCGCTGTCTGTCTATCTGACAAGAACGCTCTGTCTGACAAGAACGCTCTGTCTGACAAGAACGCTCTAGAGAAAACACAAGCAATTTAAAAACATGCACAGTAATTCGAAAAACGAAATATGACGTCGACACATTTAGCGTAGAGTAGAACATAATCTCAAACCAGAGAGTGCACACAGTAATGTAATGACGTCATTGATTCTCGCGTAAGTAAACATTGAAAAAAAGGAAATGTTGTCTAATCTAAATGGTTTGCGTGAAGAGTTTCTTGCATACAATTCTTCGGGTAGGGGCGAAGCCCCACCCCCCGCGTAAGAACGTCTGAGCCCCCCCCCCCCCCCCTCCCCAACTCAAAAGAAATTTCCTCATCGATACTCTATAATAAAATTACCGCCTAATTAATGTGTCTAATCTAAAAAGTGGTTTTCTTGCAATGGGACGGTAGACATGTTTTTTGGGGGGGGGGGGGTGTGGAGGGGTGTGGGGGGGTGTGGGGGGGGGGGGGGTGGTGTGTGGGGGTGGGGGGTGGTGTGTGGGGGGTGGGTTGGTTTCAGTGTTTCTTTCAGACTTTTTCCTCCCCGGAGAGGGGTGGGGGTACTTGAAATTTTCGGGGGCGGGGGTAGAATTTTCTGGGAGGGGGCGGACACTGGAAAAAGTATATAATTATATTTCGTTGAATGGGACGGTAGACATGTTTTTTTTGGGGGGGTGGGGGGTGGGGGCGGTGTGTGGAGGGGGTGGTGTGTGGGGGTGAGGGGTGGGGGTGGTGTGTGGTGGGGGGTGGGGGTGGGGGGTGGTGTGTGGGGGTGGGGGGTGGTGTGTGGGGGGGTGGGTTGGTTTTAGTTTAGAGAAAAGAGACAGCACTATCAGCCTAGCGCCCGTTGTACCCTTCCTCAACGGGCCATTTTTCTCGTATATATATATATATACTAGCTGCATCCCGTGCTCCGCCACGGTAAATCTTTTTAAAATATACCAACTTTGGAACAGAACATAACCAACAAAAACACAACACAAACACAAACAAAACACAACCACAACACAACCACAACCACAACACAACCACAAAACAACCACAACACAGCCACAACACAACCACAACACAACCACAACAAATGGTAAATGTACCAAGTTGGGAACAGAACAAAACTAAATACAACACAAACGAACGCAAAGAAAAAACAAAAACGAAAAAACAAACACAACACTCAACATAAACTCAATTTAAATGTAATCATAAAGGCATATTGCTCACAGTCTATCCCGTAGCGCCAAATCGCGCCCTTTCCGAGTGCCTGACACAGTTAATGAGGCGTAGCGACCCTTCCGGGCGCCCGGGGACAAACTTTCGATTTGCTACCCCCCCCCCCTCAAAATTTTGATTTGCACCCCTTTCCCTCAAACTTTCAATTTCCACCCCACTCCCTTAAACTTTAGATTTGCACCCCCCCCCCCCCCCCCCGCAAATTTTCAATTTGTTTTTCCAACCCATTTTGGCGCCCCCTAAGGTCGGCGCCAGGGGACATATGCCCCCCCCCCCTCCTTGCAACCCTCTGCTATAAAACCTCTAGCTTGTCCGCAAACCGAAAGATAGAATAATAGTTAGTAAATAATACGTAATAGTGTATAAAATAAATTAAAGGCATTATTTAGAATATCCGTGTTTTACAGACCATATTGCACATTATAAATTCATGCATTTTTTTCAGTACTTTTTAAAATTTACAACAAAGTTTCATGACTAAAATCATTGCGCACCTAATGAACGTGATGACTTAATAGGGTAATGGGGAATAGTTGATTAAAAATTATAATTAGTAAACAGTACATTCAGTGAATAAAATAAATAAAAGATAGCCTTTTATCAATCAATGCTAATAATAATATTCCAACAATAATGTACTCTTACACGTCTGCATAATTTGCATTCACATTTTGCTAATTATATTATTCCAACAATTATTCCGTCTTGCAGATTTTGCATTCACATTTTTAGCGTGAGTTCAATTTATTTTAAAATACCTCCCTTGGCAAAATTACTAAACAGTTTAATTAGATTTTTCTAACCTACAGTTATTATGTTATTAAAATGTATCCACTTTTTCTAGGAATATTAACGAAAACAATACTTAACATTGATCCTTTTAATATGTTTTAGCAATGTGCGTGTATTTAATATTCTCTTTACGTTATGCAAAATTATACAAACAGTGGAAATTATAAAATAGCTCTATGTCGTTATATAAACAAACCCTACTCTAATACTTATAATAATACAATGCGATGCACTGCAAAGCACTCCGTGGTGCGATGTTTACTTTTATGGTTCCAAAATCTATAGCGATGACGGAAGGAAGGACTGACACACTACCAGCCCGCTTATATTATATATATATATATATATATATATATATATATATATATATATATATATATAAATATATATATATATATATATATATATATATCTATAATATAATCGGGCTGAGCGTGTCCTTCCTTCCTTCCGTCCGTCATCGCTATAGATTTTGAGACTATAAAAGTAAACTACGCAGCATGCTGTGCTTTTCAGTGCACCGCAGTGTCTTATTATGAGTAATAAAGTAGGGTTTGTTTATATAACGGCATAAGGATATTTTATAGTCGCCACGGTTTTTACTCTTTCGCATAACGTAAAGAAAATATTAAATACACGCACATTGCTAAAACATATTAAAGGATCAATGTCCAATATCATTTTCGTTTATATTCCTAGAAAAAGCGGATACATTTTAATAACATAATAACAGTACGGTAGAAAAATCTAATTAAACTGCTTAGTAATTTTGCCAATGGAGGTAATTCAAAGATAAATTGAACTTACGCAAAAAATGTGAATGCAAAATCTGCAAGACGGAATAATTGTTGGAATAATATAATTAGCAAAATGTGAATGCAAATTATGCAGAAGTTTAAGAGTACATTATTGTTGGAATATTATTATTAGCATTGATTGATAAAAGGCTATCTTTTATTTATTTTATTCACTGAATGTACTGTTTACTAATTATAATTTTTAATCAACTATTCTCCATTACTATATTAAGTCATCACGTTCATTAGGTGCGCAATAGTTTTAGTCATGAAACTTTATTGTAAATTTTTAAAAGTACTGAAAAAATGCATGAATTTATAAAGTGCAATATGGTCGGTAAAACACGGATATTCTAAATACTGCCTTTAATTTATTTGCGGAAAAGCTAGGGGTTTTATAACAGAGGCGTAGCAAGAGGGGGGGGGGGGAGGGTGGAAATCGAAAGTTTGAGGGAGATGGGAGGGTGTAAATCGAAATTTTCCGCCGGCGCTCGGAAAGGGCGCGATTTGGCGCTACGGGATAGACTGTGAGCAATATGCCTTTATGATTACATTTAAATTGAGTTTATGTTGAGTGTTGTGTTTGTTTTTTCGTTTTTGTTTTTTCTTTGCGTTCGTTTGTGTTGTATTTAGTTTTGTTCTGTTCCCAACTTGGTACATTTAAAAAAGATTTACCGTGTGTTGTGGTTGTGGTTGTGGTTGTGGTTGTGTTGTGGTTGTGTTGTGGTTGTGTTGTGGTGGTGGTTGTGTTGTGGTTGTTTTGTGGTTGTGTTGTGGTTGTGTTTTGTTTGTGTTTGTGTTGTGTTTTTGTTTGTTTTGTTCTGTTCCAAAGTTGGTATATTTTAAAAAGATTTACCGTGGCGGAGCACGGGATGCAGCTAGTATATATATATATATATATATATATATATATATATATATATATATATATATAAAAGCTTAATCTTTTTCTCAAATAAATTAAGTAATTTTAACGACTATCTTTTCTAGAAATACATGAATAGCTGTTTTTGTATGAATATTCAAGAGTATTTATGTTTGTTACACTTTATTACTATTAAGTATTCATTAAAACTGATTCCTTCACCCACCCACCCACCCACCCACCCACCAACCACCCCCACTCAATTATCTTCGAGAAACTTCTCATTACGATAGTAAATCAAGACCGCTAGAACTCGCATATAAAATTTAATCGAAATTTTACTGTTTCATTTTTCTTTTGCTGAGGAATGCCCGAATCCCATTCTTGCCGTGGAAGGGGTGTGCGAGGTGCCAATCAATTTCTCCAGACCCCACAGAATGAGAGAGAAGAAAAAAAAAACCGAAATTGAGGCGGGGTGGGCGCAGGGTGCGACCGAGGATTCGGCTACGCTGCCTGGGGCGGTGACATTTCTGGGACTTGGAAGAACCAGGACGATCGCGGAGACTTCTTGTAATTGCTATTGTCTTGTGGGCTGGCTGTCTTGTGTGGGGTGGCTTGTGTGGGCTGGCTGTCTTGTGTGGACTGGCTGTCTTGTGGGCTGGCTGTCTTCTGTGGGGTGGCTGTCTTGTGGGCTGTCTGTTTTGTGGGCTGGCTGTCTTGTGGGCTGTCTGTCTTGTGGGCTGTCTATCTTGTGGGCTGGCTGTCTTGTGGGCTGTCTGTCTTGTGGGCTCGTCTGTCTTGCGGGCTGGCTGTCTTGTGGGCTGTCTGTCTTGTGGGCTGGTCTGTCTTGCGGGCTGGCTGTCTTCGGTGGGCTGGTCTGTCTTGTGGGCTGGCTGTCTTGTGGGCTGGCTGTCTGGTGGGCTGGCTGTCTTGTGGGCTGGCTGTCTTGTGGGCTGGCTGTCTTGTGGGCTGACTGTCTTGTGGGCTGGCTGTCTTGTGGGCTGGCTGTCTTGTGGGCTTACTGTCTTTTGGGCTGGCTGCCTTGTGTGGGGTGGCTTGTGTGAGCTGGCTGTCTTGTGGGCTGGCTGTCTTGTGGGCTGGCTGTCTTGTGGGCTGTCTGTCTTGTGGGCTGGCTGTCTTGTGGGCTGTCTGTCTTGTGGGCTGGCTGTCTTGTGGGCTGGCTGTCTTGTGTGGGGTGGCTTGTGTGAGCTGGTTGTCTTGTGGGCTGGCTGTCTTGTGCGCTGGCTGTCTTCTGTGGGTTGGTTGTCTTCTGTGGGTTGGCTGTCTTGTGGGCTGGTTGTCACCTGTGGGTTGGTTGTCTTCTGTGGACTGGCTGTCTTGTGGGCTGGCTGTCTTGTGGGCTGGCTGTCTTGTGGGCTGGCTGTCTTTTGGGCTGGCTGCCTTGTGGGCTGGCTGTCTTGTGGGCTGGCTGTCTTGTGTGGGGTGGCTTGTGTGAGCTGGCTGTCTTGTGGGCTGGCTGTCTTGTGGGCTGGCTGTCTTGTGCGCTGGCTGTCTTGTGGGCTGACTGTCTTGTGGGCTGGCTGTCTTGTGCGCTGGCTGTCTTGTGGGCTGGCTGTCTTGTGTGGGGTGGCTTGTGTGAGCTGGCTGTCTTGTGGGCTGGCTGTCTTGTGGGCTGGCTGTCTTGTGCGCTGGCTGTCTTCTGTGGGTTGGTTGTCTTGTGGGCTGGCTGTCTTGTGGGCTGGCTGTTTTTTGGGCTGGCTGCCTTGTGGGCTGGCTGTCTTGTGGGCTGGCTGTCTTGTGGGCTGGTCTGTCTTGCGGGCTGGCTGTCTTGTGGGCTGGCTGTCTTGTGGGCTGGCTGTCTTGTGTGGGCTGGCTGTCTTGTGGGTTGGCTGTCTTGTGGGCTGGCTGTCTTGTGGGCTGGCTGTCTTGTGTGGGCTGGCTGTCTTCTGCGGGGTGGCTTGTGTGAGCTGGGTGTTTTGTGGGCTGGCTGTCTTGTGGACTGGCTGTCTTGTGGGTTGGCTGTCTTGTGGGCTGGCTGTCTTGTGCGCTGGCTGTCTTCTGTGGGTTGGTTGTCTTCTGTGGGTTGGTTGTCTTGTGGGCTGGCTGTCTTGTGGGCTGGCTGGCTTTTGGGCTGGCTGCCTTGTGGGCTGGCTGTCTTGTGTGGGGTGGCTTGTGTGGGCTGGCTGTCTTGTGTGGGGTGGCTTGTGTGAGCTGGCTGTCTTGTGGGCTGGCTGTCTTGTGTGGGGTGGCTTGTGTGAGCTGGCTGTCTTGTGGGCTGGCTGTCTTGTGGGCTGGCTGTCTTGTGGGCTGGCTGTCTTGTGGGCTGGCTGTCTTGTGGGCTGGCTGTCTTGTGGGCTGGCTGTCTTGTGGGCTGGCTGTCTTGTGGGCTGGCTGTCTTTTGTGGGGTGGCTTGTGTGAGCTGGCTGTCTTGTGGGCTGGCTGTCTTGTGTGGGGTGGCTTGTGTGAGCTGACTGTCTTGTGGGCTGTCTGTCTTGTGGGCTGTCTGTCTTGTGGGCTGGCTGTCTTGTGGGCTGGCTGTCTTGTGGGCTGGCTGTCTTGTGGGCTGGCTGTCTTGTGGGCTGGCTGTCTTGTGTGGGGTGGCTTGTGTGAGCTGACTGTCTTGTGGGCTGTCTGTCTTGTGGGCTGTCTGTCTTGTGGGCTGGCTGTCTTGTGTGGGCTGGATCTGTTGTGTGGGCTGGCTGTATTGTGTTGACTGGCTGTCTTCTGTGGACTGGCTGTCTTGTGGGACTTCATGTCTTATATGGGCTGTCTTGTGGGATGCATGTCTTATAAGTGATCTATCTTCTCCTTGTGGTTTGTCTTGTCAACTGTTTGCTGAGGGGCGTCTGTCTAACAGATCTTGTAAACGTTGCTGCCGATCACATGTGTTAACTTACCTCGTTACGAACGCCATAAAAGGTAAAAGCTATGTAAAGAACAAAGCAAAGTCAGTTTATGATGTGTTACGATATTATCTCGAGTAGGCCCATAGCTGTATACCGAAAGATTGTTATTTCAGTTTTTTTCAACATGTGTGCGTGAGTACGCCGTGTATAAAAAAGTATGCGAGCATTGTTGTCATCAGTTTTATATATATATATATATATATATATATATATATATATATATATATATATATATATATATATATATATATATATATATATATATATATATATATATATATATAATATTATTCCACAAAATGTTAAATAATGTATCAATGTATATGCATATGGTACTATTAATACATTTTCTGAATCAACATTGAATACAAATGTGTAGGTTGCTTCCCCTGTTATAAATTAAATTTAACCAAGAGAAACAACCAAAGTGATCCTCCCAAAAGTCATAAAATACCTTAAAAATAGCTGGTAAGAAAAATAAATGTGAAATTTTATATATTAAAGTATTTAATATAAATTTTAGAAGTATGACTTCTAATTTGATATATTAATACTTAATAGATTTTAAAACAGTTTTAAAGCTCTAGTTTGAAAATACAACCTTTAGCTAAACACATACTTTTTAGAAATTAGGATGAAAACTTACATTTGTGTTATTATTTTACTGGATATAACAACAAAATGTTGCTACCATTGAAATCTTATTTATTTGTTTACTTTCTCGTATACGAAGTATAGAGATAATATTGTGACAGGGGTCGGCAAACTTTTCAGACGGAAGAACCAAAAGTTACAATTTACAATTTTTTCCAATTTCTAAAGAGCCACTAACACTTTTTTTCTTATTATAGCATGCTATTTCTTAAAGCATTTAATTAGGATTAGATGAATAAATGTTATTTTTGATTTGAAATAAATAGCTTTATATATAAAATAATATTTATTCATATAAAAACATACAAATGTTTCGCACAAAACATATAAAAGTATTTTAGCTATCTCTGTTTTGATAAATTTAGTTACCAAATAATATAACTATAAGACTTTCCCAATCCATTTTAGAAGTTAATACATTTTTTTCTCTTTCTTCACGGACATCATGTCAGGCAGGCCTCAACACCGCAACCTCCGACTAACTGGCTTGGATATTGGTTTGATTACCGTATCGGTCACTTCTGTACTTTGGCTCTCACCAGACTTATCTTCCACTCCACTGAACGCTGGGTAAACTCGTACCCCACAGTCCAGTACCCGGCCCAAACGTAGTAGGCTAATAACTATAAAACTAAGTCATTCAGGTCTAATTAATGCATACTGACAGACAGAGAAATGCATTCTGAATAAAAAAAACATTCCCCATTTAACGATATTTGAAAAAGTCGGCACTTCGGCAGTGGCAAGCATGGAATAGTCGCCACGGTGCTAGCTACAGCACGGCCGTGGGGCTGGGCCTGGTGTTCAAGCGGCTGTCCGTATACTTTCTACCTCACCTACTCTCATTGTTCTTTGATGAGTGTTTTTATGTCGTTTAAAGTTGTTTTTTTTTACAGTATAATATTTTTTTATGAGTTTTGAAAATGAAATAACATGTGTGTATGGAACTCGAGAGCCACATCGTGAGATAAAAAAGAGCCGACCCCTGTAGTGTAATCGTACAGTACATCAAAATCGAGATTTTCTTAAATATCTACGTCTCCCTGAGTACGAAAAAAAAACTACTTACGTACTCTTTTCCATCCGTCTGTTTGTCTGTCTGTGTGTACACAAAACTTGAATACCGTTTCAGCAAGGTTGACGAAATTTCATATATATGTATCATATCAAATGTGTAGTATTCTATAAACTTTTCAGTGACTTCTGATAACCGTAAGTGGCATTTATTCTACTTTCGGTTGTTCAAAAGCTTAAAACATGATTACTGTTTCAGTTTGGGGATACAATTTCATATTAAAGTAAATGATCTTATTCAATGGGTTCGTTCAAATTTGAGTGATCTCCGGTAACCAAAAGTAGTAGCCACTTTAGGCTATTTCCGACTTTTTTTTAAAAAGCCATAATGACATTATGTAGTGCCCGTCGTGGACGGAAATTACGACCAAAATTTTGAACATTTTTACCAGATCGATTCATTTTAAAATGTTCACGTAGGTCAAGACTCGAAGACAAGGTACAGTGACACAAAATGTTGATGAATTAGATGATTAAATTTTTAAAATTAATTATGGTTATCTTTATAAATTACACATTTTCTGCACTTTATATACACTTTGTTTGCTGTTCATTTGGTGCGCAATTCTTTTTTCTACGCGATATTTTCTACTAGATAAATGGCCCGTTGAGGGATAAATAAAAATGGGCGGTAGGTTGATAGTGTTGTCCTTTTCTTTTAAACTGAAACCAAAATCAACCTCAAATTTAACCTGAAACGTAAAATGTCACTGAAAAACGGATTGTTCTATCAACATTTTTACCGGATTCGGAAATTTAAAAGTTAATAAAATACATAATAACCCTAATCTTAATCCCGATACTAACTTTTAATATATGTATATATATATATATATATATATATATATATATATATATATATATATATATATATATATATATATATATATATATATATATATATAAATTTTTTGTACACCTTAATTCACTTCTCAAATTAGACAATTAAATTTGGTGTTTAATTTTTCTGTCTCTATTATCAATGACGTCAATGTTATATATATATATATATATATATATATATATATATATATATATATATATATATATATATATATATATATATATATATATATATATATATATATATATATATATATATATATATATATATATATATATAATATATATATATATATATATATATATATATATATATATATATATATATATATATATATATATA